AAGAAATGACAGAATCATCAAGTGGGATCCCGCCAAATGAAATACTTTCTGTACGACAAAGGACACCAATAGAGTGACAAGACACCTATAGGAAACTTTGCTGACAATCCCTCAGACAGAAACAATATCTAGAATGTATCATGAACTCCAAAAATTAAGCCCTTAAAAGGAAAAGAATATAGTTAAAAATAGGCAAAGGATAAGGACGCTTCTTAGAAAGTACAAACAGTAAGTGCATTAAAAAAAAATGTTCACCATTTCTAGCCACTAGATAAGTGTAAATTAACCTTGTTTTGGAGACAGACTCTCAGCATGTTAAGGCTGCCATTAAGTCACTAGAGAGCCCAGGCTGGCCTCAAACTCACAGGCATCCTCTTGCCTCAGCCTCCCAAGGGTTGCCTGTACAGGAGTGCGGCACCACGCGGGGCCAGGAATGTGTACATGAAAACAACACTAAGCATCTTTATACCTCAGTGGAAATGGGGCACCCCTGGCACTTGTATCTACTTGGCCCAAAGGGCTGGGCCCCCTGAGCCACAGCCGTGTGCCCGGCTGCTTCTGCACTGAGGGCCCCTCTGGCTGCTGGGGCCGGCGCCTCCTCACTGCTTCTGAGGAACCCAAATCAGGAGCCCAGGCGCTGCTGCGGCTCCTTCTGCCCACCCACCATTGCTCTCTGAGAAAAGACAGGGCTCTGGCCCAGGACAGCCACTGGCACCAAATGGAGGCACTCAGGAGACTCACATGGCTACGTAGCAGAGATGAGAGCCCCGGGCCAGGCTGGGCTCCAGGAGGTGGGAGCCTCAGAGGGGCTGGCAGGCAGACTGCACTCCTCACCTATGCCATCAGCGCCTCCCAGCACTCAGGAGGCTGAGACAGGAGGACCTCCATGAATTCGAGGCCAGCCTGGGCTATATACTGAGCTCAAAGCTAGCCTGAATACATAATGAAACCCTAGCTCAAAAACTAAAGAACAGCTGTCTCATTAAGGCTTGGGGTCACATTCCTATCAGCGTGATCCTTTTGACATGACATCTTGTAGTGTAGTCCAAATTGGCCCCAAACTCACAGAGATTCTTCTGCCTCAGCCCACTGAGGGCTGGGACTGTGGGCAGGCATCACTGTGCCCAGCCAACGAGGGCTTCTGCCTGCCCCAGTTGCCCCTTGACTTTAGTCAGGAGTGTCTCTCGTGGCTGCTCTGGGATTTCAGGGGTCCCTTCCCTCTACTATGACATTGCCCTGTGACTACAGACTGAGACAAGAAAAAAGGATTATTTTGTTTGATATAGTGACTTTTTATTTAGTGGTACTGGGGATCAACCCCGGGGCCTAGTGTATACCAGGGAACTGCCCCGGCATTGACCCACGTCCCCTCCCAGAAAAGGGTTAGATGCTCAGATACACTGGTTTTACTGGCCTACTTTCAGTGCAGACCTAGTGAGGCACAACGTGGTTGCCTCCAGGGGCCTGGGAAGACGAGCCATCCAGGAGGACCCCCCCAGCCTTTGGGGGCTGACTGTCAGCCCCAAACCCCAGCAGCCCGTAAGCGGTGTTGAAGAGGTTGATGGGAGTGGAGCCGTCGGTGATGAGGGTGGACTTCAGGCCCAGGGACTGCA